GATTCTGACTTAGAGGCGTTCAGCCATAATCCTACAGATGGCAGCTTGGCGGCACTAGCTTTTCAGCTAACCGCAGTTACCAATTATCTGAACCAACGGTTCCTCTCGTACTGGGATGGAATACTGTTTAGACTACGCACTCATCAGTAGGGTAGAACTAACCTGTCTCACGACGGTCTAAACCCAGCTCACGTTCCCTATTAGTGGGTGAACAATCCAACAATTGGCGAGTTCTACTTCGCAATGATAGGAAGAGCCGACATCGAAGAATCAAAAAGCAACGTCGCTATGGACGCTTGGCTGCCACAAGCCAGTTATCCCTGTGGTAACTTTTCTGACACCTCTAGCTTAAAATTCAAAAGAACTAAAGGATCGATAGGCCACGCTTTCACGGTTTGTATTCATACTGAAAATCAAAATCAAGTGAGCTTTTACCCTTTTGTTCTACATGAGATTTCTGTTCTCATTGAGCTCACCTTAGGACACCTGTGTTATCATTTAACAGATGTGCCGCCCCAGCCAAACTCCCCACCTGACGATGTCTTCCATAATCGAATCTGCCTTCTCCTGCGCAAGTGCACAGAAAAAGGCCCCCACCCTCGCGACCGCGTTCCAGCCCCGCTCGACCGCCGTTCACCACCCCCAGTCCAGTCCTTCGCTCGTGCCTCCGTTCGACCTCGTCGCTCCGGCTGCACCTGTCCCAGTACTTGACTCCAGCTTCGTACCTCGCGTCTCCACCAGCACCTCCTCGCGGACGTGCTGCTGCCTGCCCTCGACCTTACCGTCCCCAAGTTCGTGACTTCGGTCTGTACCAGCGCATTCATAAGCCGAGTGTCCCACTGCTGCCGAGCAGTACGTGCGTCAAGACACTAGGGCGGTTGGTTTCTCTCTGCTTTCAGAAGTTACCTCCGTTCTCCCCCTTTCTAGGCGGGTGCTAGTGGGCCTGTACAGACCGCCTCGAAGTCGACGTTAGTGTTAGTCGGACTAGGTCCCTCTACACAGCCAAGGCAACCTTTACTGTGGTGCTGTCTCCTCACTGGACGCGCTGATCCCGCGTTTACCGAAAGGACCTTTGAGAAGAAGTTGTGGGTAGTTCTTACTCCCACCACATATCGATCTGCCTAGCTGCACCTACGTCTTTGCGACAGTTACGATGGTTAAGACGCGCCCAGGTCCCGGCCGCCCGGTACCAACACGCAATTTACCGACCGACTCGCTACTCAAAGACAGCGAGGCTGCTCTCGCTGCTGCGAAGGTCGAGGAGCTTCGCTCCAATGCTCTCAAGCTAGGTTTGGCAGATCACGTGCTGCATTTCTCGATTGCGTGTCTCTGCTCAAGGTTTGTGGCTTCGGCCGGTGAGGTGCCAATATGTCGTCGTTTCCATCGCCCAGGCGGCGATGCTGACGCAACTTTGAGGTTCAATCGCTGCTTCGTTGTTCGTGGAGTGGTTTGGGTTTCGCCAAATTCAGGGTGTGACGGCCAGATAAATGCGTAGCACTGCCCGAATTTTTGTCAGATTGCGCTTGGTTCCGGGTTTTACTACGAGTTGCGCTGATTTTACACTAAAATTGCGTTTGTTATGAGACTTCGGCGCTTGATAAAGTGTCCGCTGCGGACTTCGATCAGGTGATTTGCCTTCACTACGCTAAGTTAGTGCAAACAATGTGGGGCCCGTGGTCAAATTGATACTAAAGCGTATTTTTGGGTAGGTGACTAGACATTGGATCGGTAAGCGTAGATCCGTTCGCTTATTTTTTTATCCCTGAAGTTTATGGTGTTCTAATTGATCTTTCGAGTATTTGTTGATGCTAGAATTGCGTGGTGGTGGAATGCCAGTCACGAAAATTGCGTTGATTCCTTGCCACTGTACCACGCAGTCAGTATGCTTACTGTCCTTACATTGTAGGATTGAGTTGGAAACGTTGGGTGGAATGTTTCTTGAAAATAATGCTAAGCGTAACAGTGGCCACTGTGCAACTTCGACAATCGTCGCTCTCGGTTTGTTCCATTTGGTGGCACATTTGCTGTTGATACTGAGCTGCTATCACTTGATAATCTGCTGAGATTTATGGTTCTCTGGAAGTATGCTGCAATCGTGACACTTTCAGCAATAGCGAGGCGTAAATATTTGAAGATTTGCATTGTGATTGCTCTATTCAGACGCTAAGAGACGACCTGCCCCATTCCACGAAGCTTGTGGGGACTGTAAACGCTCAGCCACCTGTCGGAGCACACACATTTACGCATCAATTGAAACAATCGGCGAGCCTTTACGAAGTCACATGTTGAAGGAGATCTCAAGTGGCTGCTGTTGTAAAGAGCTATTGGATTATTTTCTCTACCTTTGTGTCTATCACCAGCTCTACAGTCCACCCACTTGTCGTCGCAGTTCAGCCCTGGTGTCGTCTGAGAGTGCTCCTTGCAGCTTTGACCTCACTCTGCAATTTGCAGCAACCCTCTCAGGCCCTCTTCGAACCTTCAAGTCTTCTTCGCCCAAGTCTTCTTTCGCCAGGTGAACCTCGCTTTTATCAGTAACCAAAACTGTCCCACTCCATGCGCCAGACGACTAACTACCAAGCACACAGAAGTCTCGAGTCGGATCGTCCATCTTGCACGCCCACGAGACATGCACCCATTTTCCTTCACCGCGACCTCACTCTGCCAAAGTCCACTTTGGTCACCTCGCCAACTTGGCCCAAAA